TTTAGGGTTTAGGAATTTGCGGCTTAAGCTTCGAGGCATCCAATCCGCAAATGCCGAACTGACTATCCCCAGCTACGAACAAAGAAGCCGTAGTACTTAGAAGAGGGTGTTGGGGGGACTGCATTCTAGTATATTTTACTACTGTTGATGATAAAAGCCCTGCATNNNNTTAAGGACCCTAAACTATGGGGATTACGTTATATTCTTTATTGTGGGTAACCTAAACCCTAAACCCTAAACCCTATTCCTTACTACGGGTAATGCAGGATTTATATCATCAACCGTAGTAAAATGGCTTCGGGGACTCTCAGGGGATGCGATTACTATCTATTCCGACCACACCTGGCGACCACCAACTTTGACAAGGTTTAGGGTTTAGGGTTTGGGTTTAGGGCTTAGGGGTTTGTTCACCCTAACTGCTCGGTTTGGGGTTTAACAGTGCAAGGTTTGGGTTTATGGCTTGAGGGTTGAAGCTTAGGGTTCCGCACGAGAAGAGGACTTAGTAAGCAGGTGAGGGTTGCAAGCGATACTGACAAGCTGCTTGCCAAGCTCAGTGATCCTAAGAAGTTCGTGCCTAAACCTTCGAAAAATGCCCCAAACACCCTAGAAGCCTGATAAATTCGAAAATGTGAAATCAAAAGAACACTTTCGAATAAAGGCAACCCCCACGATATAAGCCAAACGACTGTTGAGCTTCATTAGCACTACACTCCAAGCCCCTAAACCCTGAAACCCTAAACGCTAAGCCCGAAACCTTACAAGCTAAACTCCACCCGTCCGTCCTGGGACACACCGTCGTCCTCGTGACCGACGATGAGTGCCCAGTGACTGGCTTGTCCATGGAGGGGTTTCGGGTTTTAGGGAATATAAATATGGCGTGGGCCTCGGGGTTTAAAATTTCAGTCACGGTGGTTGTGGCTCAAGGTTTGGGGCGTGTGGAGTCTGGGGCTGCAGGTTTTGTTTGGTTTAGGACTAACTAGCATAAGGTAAACCCGAAACCCGAAACCCTGTATAGCCACTGCCTGCAGGCCCTCTTGCATATGAATATGTATGTCTACATGCATGTTCATTGATCTACTTGATAGTTACTTCTTCTGAGGCCAACGAGATTCCTTTTTTGTGCCTCCTTAACAGAGGCCATAGCATAGCCCGAGCAACTGCGGCTTTTGCTCCGTTATATAGACATAGATGCCTCATGTTTTACCGACATTATTCCGAGGGCTCCTTCCTATCATTGCACCAGAATGTACCCAAAAAACCTATTCTAGGTATCAAGGCCCCTATAGTATGATTATGTAGTTTCCGTTGAGCATCTACTTTAGCAAAATCTAGGCCGTAGCGAAAGGCCATCTCCATCTTTGGCGTAGTCTTTCCTGCCACAAACCCTAAACCCTAAACCCTAAACCCTAAAGCCTAAAGGCCTTACCGTCATCACATCTTGTGCTTCGAACCAGGATTTGACCGCCCAAGCCTCTATGTGAAGTGCCTGCCATGCATCACGTCTGCAAACCACATAATGCAGGGGCCTTAATAATTAGAATGGGGTTTTGGTGTATATACCATATTTATAATAATTAGGAAACCCCATAGTATAGGTAATTATTAAGGCTCCATCCATTAACTAGAGTGAAGTAACCAGGGAGAAAAAAGCATAGACTTTAATTTCATAATGGTTCCCTTTAAGGAACAGGTTCCAAAAAACAAGTATTCAAGTACTGTAC